GGACCCTGCATTCACTATATCTGGTCCCCCACAGTACACAGAAGATGGAAATGCAATTATTTTAGTAAATATAAACTGCTAAATACCTTTTCTCATCAGCAGTTAGAGCAGTCTTGAGACTTCATCTGAGCACTAGTTAAAGCTTGTAGGAGGAGTTTTCTTTCTGCTCTAGGAGGATGCAAAACTCCTGACCTGTCTGGACAGTGCTGATTGGCCCTGTGCTGATCACATGCACTCTCCAAAGAAAAAAAAACACCTCTTTAGCAATAAACACTAAACTGAGCATGTGCAGAAGGGCTACAGGTTCAGTCTGTCTTATCAGCATGGACATTTGAACAAGAGGAGGGGCAGAGAAGAAAGGATCAAATGGCCTTTTTACACAATGCAGGGGATTAACCCCTTAGGTTCCACAGTGAGTGTAACAAGCATGCTTTACTGCATATACAGACTGATTTTACTGTTGTCGATTTAGTAACACTTTAATATGACAGCTGCTGCTAGTATGCCTCCTAGGGCTTTATTTTATACTGCTGAAGGCTGTTACGGTCTAAGTGAGCGTATGAGTCCCTAGTCCGATAGGTGTCCTTCCTTTAATCATAGCTGTACTGCAGTTATCTCTAGGGCCAGGCAGAGGGATCATGCTACCAGTTGGTATAAGTATAGGATAAAGTCTTGAAGAAGCTTTAGAAAAAAATATTTTATATTGTCCTGTAACCCCAGGAAAGTAGCGGGAGTGAGGAAGGAGAGTCCTCGTAAGTTCAGTGGTTGTTGCTGAGTTAAGGTTCAGCAGGCACAGTCTATGCAATAGGGCAACTGGGGCACCTCAGGGGAGAACAAGCCACATATCTGGACCTGTGTCCCCAGGTTTTGTTGATGCTATGGTGGCTGTCCTCCGCGTTTCCTAGAGCCTGATGGTGTTGTGCCAAAAGTCAATAAGTGCTGGAAAAGTGTTGCGATTCTGTAAGGGACCACAGGTCCAACCAGCAAGTGCAGTGATGGGGCATTTTAGCTGGTAGCATAGATGCGCCTGCTGGTGTTATTAATTTGTCACCACATGTCCCTGAGGTGTGAGATAGAAGGTCTGAGACTCCGCAGGATCATATTTGGGTGCCAAAAAACAAATCTGAGTAATGTAAGAAAGAATTAGGAGCTATTGTAGATGTTAATGCTGAACGCATACCTGTACAGAGAAGAGCCGTATCAATATGCAGCCATCTTGGTTGGCTGCCCAACAGCACCCCCATTCCAGTTAGTGTTTTTCATGTCCTCTTGGGAAGAAGCAGTGTATTGACAGCACTTAAATTATTTTTTCTACCTGTATAGTCTGCAAATCTTTAAATTGAAGATGTCATTGGAAAGCTTTGCTTAGCTGCCATTGTTAAAAATAATCTCTCTTCTCATGAAAAAAAATAGTTCTTCACGCTTTTACATTTTAAATCAAAGGAACGTAGAAGTTTCTGATGACATGCAATTTATAAAACAATTCAGAAAATAATTTTCAGCTTACAATGCAACAAATCCTATTTTTTTCCCCCCATAACATATCTATTGAAAGTTTCAATAAAATAAAACATAATAATGGGAGAAGACAACTGGTAGAAGTGTGTACATTAGAAAGTCATATTAAACCCTTGTCAATTGGACCATCCAAGCCAGTAGAGAGCATACAAGTACAGGGCAGAAAATTGTTTACAGTGACGGGAATCCCGATAGGTACAACCCAAACCCCATAATTTTTACTGAGAATTTTAAAGTAACTCCACCTGAAATAATTTGCAAGAAAAGGAAGCCTGGGGGGGGGGGATGGTTGAGGTGGGGAAGGGGGAGAGGAGGAGGGATAGGTAAAGAAGAAGGGCAGATAGGGAAAGAGGGAGAAAATGGAGAGTACAATCTTTATTGGTTTATATCGGTTTTGTTGTACAACCTTGCTCTTTGTTGTTATGATCTGCTGATATATATATTTTATATATATATTTAAAATCTATATATTTTTTTTTTAAGTGAGTTGTGATTTTACTGCAATACAGCAACAGGGATGTGCACGCTTCGTAGTATTAAATAAAAAAAACAAAAACACATTTTTAGGAGTTTTTTAAAAGCCTTACATTTTTTTTTAAATATTAATTTAAAGTCAGCAGCTTCAAATACTGTAGCTGCCAACTTTTAATAGAGAGAAACTTCCCTGTCCAGGGATCCAGAGCTGTCCTTACCTGGGCTGGTTCTTTGCTGGTCGTTGAGCCCCCTGCACTTCCATGTTAACTGTGGGAAGCTGTCTGTGACTCCTTCCCACTGCGACTCGCTTCCCACTCTGCATAAACGAGCCGTGCTGCGCTCTTTGAATGATCCCACACACCCTCCTAGGACCTGTGATGTGTCCTAGAAGGTTGAGGGTGGGGGAGAGAACTTTCACTGGAATAGCCGATTCCAGCAGAATTGGGACCGGGTCACTGCCAGAAATAGGTACCCGCCGCACCCCAGACCCCCCCTCAATAAAAGTAAAATGCCAAAACTGAAAGAGGAGGAGGATCAGCAGAGTTTCCCTTGTAAGGCAAAGTTCTGCTTTAAATTGTGATTTTATTATTTAGAGCTAGGATTTTAGATATTTTTTTAATCCAAAAGAGTTATTAGTATAGAAATAGACATCAATGCTGACAAAGACATGCACCTATGTTGTACATATTATTTTAAAGGAATAGATAACACAAGGAGGTTTATTTACTAAAGCTGGTTCACTCAGAATCTGTTGCAGCTGTGCATGGTAGCCAATTGGCTTCTAACCTCAGCATGTTCAATTAAGCTTTAGCAATAAAACCTGGAAGCTGATTGGCTTCTATTCAGAAGTGCACATGTTTCTGAATGAACCAGCTTCAGTAAACAAACCCCAAGGTATCTGCAATATAGCATACACAGACAAATGGCAAGTTATCAAATTACTGAAGACAAATGAAATGAGAGACCTAATCACAGGCTGTTCACAGGAATCAGTGCAAAATAATATATCAAAGCCCATATAATTATAGTTAGTCGGTTGAGAAACTATGAAAACTTAAACCAAAAGTGCTGTGTGTTGTTTCAAATATAGGGAATGGGGGTAGTAACCTCAGACATACCAGATCACCACCATGTATATGGCACTGCAACCTGAGTATATCGGACCTAAACACAGGAGATCCACTGTTCAAATCCAAGTAGGAGCTACGTCTATTGGACAGCAAGTAGAAGATTGCACTTGCTACATACTCCACATTTTCTGAAATGTGTTTGGTCTATGGCCACAGGGTTTGCTCAGTTTCTTATACAGTAGTATTTTATTAATCTCTGCTTTTCTGAAGGTGTAAGATAGACACCCCATACCTTATACAAAAAGGTGCACAAATAAATATTTAATTCTAAAGGTTTAGGAGAACCCAGCAGACATAGCCGAGGGTCTACTTGTGCCAGGGAACCAATTATATCATGCAGAAAGGTTATTATTTGCTTTTGTTAAGTCTGTATTTTTGGGCAGGACCAGAGCAAGTAGAAAAGTAACCAGGGGATCCTTGACATTTAGGACATAATGGGATATATGATGGTTTATACCTTCCTAACCGAATCGGCATCAAATCAGTATGATAAAATATAAATAAATGGGTGAGATTATCGCAACGTTTTTTTTTTTTTTCCAGAGAGACTAATCTGGTGGCTGGTTAGAACCTCTTCCAAGGTCTCATCATAAATAGGATCCAAATTAGCCTCCCCCAGAATTGTTCTAACATAAGTTTGATTTTGTGCAGTTTGGTCCTGTAAGGCTGCGTAGAATGCTGGAATTATTTGCGTGAGAGAAGCTCTAACCATAGTGTCAGCCAAATAATTATCTGTAAGCACCAGTAACATAGATCCAAATTGCCTAGTGGCAGCATGTCTAAACTGGAGGTATTGAAAAAGCATAGAATCCAGCAAATTAAATTTCTGTTTTATTTTTTATTATTATTACAGGTACTTGTATAGCGCTGTCCATTTACGCAGCTCTTTACATATATATTGTACATTCACATCAGTCCCTATCCCTCAAGGGACGTACAATCTAAAGTCCCTAAAATACATTCATACATACTAGGGCCAATTTTTAGTCAAGATCCAATTAACCTACCAGCATGTCTTTGGAGTGTTGGAGGAAACCGGAATACCCAGAGGAAACCCACGCAGGCACAGGGAGAACATGCAAACTTCAGGCAGGTGGTACCGTCATTGGGATTCGAACCAATGACCCTACTACTGCTGTTTTAGATCCGAAAAGGATTTAAGTTGCCCAGCAGTAAAGATCTGAACTGAAAATGTTAACATGTCTAAACCAAAGGTCAGGATGTGGAACCATAGAAATCTCAGACAAAGATTGGTTCTGTTAAAATGGAAAGTGACTACTGACTCCCATAATACCTTGTTTGGACATACAGTAGCTATGTCCCGTAGCTTGAGACACGGAGTCAACATAAGGTTGGAAGCCTGCAGGTCTGTTTAACCTTTTAAACCCACAATTATTAATAGCAACACGGTCAAGGGGTTGGGTAGTGCTGTCAGGGGCCATAAGGTGCTTAAGCCAGGGAACAGTGCCCCAGTGGAAAAATATAAGATGTCCGCGAAGCCAAGTGGTTTAAATTGAAGCCTGCCAAATCTTTAGAATGTTTTAGAGTGGACCAGTTAGGTTTGTCGGCTGGAGCCAGAGATTAAAGGTTTAAGTAGGGAATCTAAAGCACAAAATATTTAATGAGCAAATAGATCAGAGCATGCCTAAGAATATAAAGGGTTTGAGGAAGAAGAATAGTTTTTAACAAGGTCAGTACGTCCAATGATACAGTAGTAATCAGGCATTTTCAGCGTTTTAGATCATTTAGTTGTCAACTTTATGAGGAAACTTGATGGCAGTATCCAGAGAGTGACTGCTTATACAAATGAAGTGCTTACTGCACTAAGAGGTTCTATGGAAGGAAAATAACAATATGAATTTGGTTTGAATATTGCAGAGTGTGAACGTGACAGAGATGCTCTGGGTACGCCCTCAGATCCAGCCAAAAAAGATGCAGACCCTGTTAATATCCACAGAAAACCAGCAAGACCTCTGACCAGTGAGGGTGAAGAAGAAGCAGAAAGCGACGGTGAACAGGAGACTTCTTATAAGGAAGATGCTTTGTCTGAGAAAGATGAAGAGCAAGATAGCAACTCAGTTTTAGATCTGTCCAGTAAAGTAAGTTGCCTGTATTATACAATTACAAGATGTATTACTGTACATTACTACTAGGTCAATTGTCCTATGCTATCATGTGCTTCTGATTTCAATCATTTATTTATAACCACCTTTTGTAGGATTTTCTGATACCCAGAATTCTGTATTCAAGCTCATTGAGTGGGCCAGTCAAGCCAAGCATCAGTTGCTCATTTGCATAGGTTTCTGGGTACCTTTATTTCCTCTTCACACCTTCTGGCCATCTGGGGCATTCATTGGCATGATTAACCTTTGCACTGCCATAGCTGTGTTACAGTGGGGCAGTGGAAGGATGAAAACAAAGCCTTTGCTGTGCATTTTTTTTATCATACCCATGTTTTAATTACTTTAGAAGTGATCCAGGCAGCTGTACAGAGCTGTTGAGTGTACACAGAGATCTGGGCTCCCTGTCCTTGATCTATTTGCACTAGCAGCAGGGGGAACTATCGGGTGTTTAATAGACTTCTAATATCTAATTTAATAGTACCTGTCACTACTATTACAAAGTGGGTCTTACTTGCCTCATTTGACAGCAAATAGAAAGAATAACTTCCCCACCTTACACCTGAAAACACACACGCGTTACACATCCCTCCACATGCCAGTTTTAGTAGAATAATTTTAGGGCTGTAATTTTTGGCTAACTATGAAGTCATGGGCCTTAAATTATTTCTTGTAAGTTGATACAGTCACTTTTAGATAGTAACATAGTCCTACCAAACCGCACTGACATATGTATCACACCTATTTGGGATCCCTGTAATAATTTTTTTTTATATTTTTATTTAACCACTTGCCAACTGGGCACTTATACCTCCTTCCTGCCCAGACCAATTTTCAGCTTTCAGCACTGTTGCACTTTGAATGGCAATTGTGCGGTCATGCAACATTGTACCCATATGAAATTTTTAGCATTTTTTGAGACAGAGCTTTCTTTTGGTGGTATTTAATCACCTCTGGGTTTTTTATTTTTTACTAAAGAAAACAACTGAAAAATTTTAAATAATAAAAAGTTTTTTCTTAGTTTCTGTTATAAAATGTTGTAAATAAGTGATTTTTCTCTTTCACTGATGCAGCACTGATAGGTGGCACTGACTGGCATGGATAGGTGGCACTGATTGACAGCACTGATAGTTGGCACTGAAAGGCAGCTCAGATGGGCACTGATATGTGGCATTGATGTGCACTGGTAGGCATTGATATGTGGCATTAATGGGCACTGATATGTGGCATTGGGCACTGGCAGGTGGCACTGATGGGAACTGACAGGTGGCATTGATGGGGCTACAGTGATCATCAGGGCACTGAACAGTGCCCTGATGATCAGTGTACATGTTCCCTCTGAGGAATGCCGATAACCGGCTCTCCTCACGATCTGTCAGCATGACAGCTCGTGAGGCGAAGAATGCCGATAACCGGCATTTCCTTATGTACATGCGATCAGCTGTAATTGGACACAGCTGATCACATGACAGAGCCGATGTCATCAGCTCTTTCTGCTGATCGGTGATCCGCTGTGTCCCAAGGACACAGCACACCACCGATTGCCGCGCAGTTAGAGTGGGAGGACGTCATATGACATCCTCCCAGAACGAGAGAACTGCCACTCGTCCATCATTTCCTTATATGGCGGGCGGGAGGCAGTTTTAAAGAATTGAATGGGTTTACAGAGAAGTTTCATACAGGTCTCACAATATAAGTAACTATTAATATACAGTGCTGTGGAAAAGTATTTGCCCCCTTCCTGATATTTTTTTTTTTTTTTGCAGATTTGTCACACTTAAATGATTCAGATCATCAAACAATTTTTAATATTACACAAATTTAACCTGAGTAAATACAAAATGATGATATAATTTATTAAGGGGAAAAAAGCTGTGAAAAAGTAATTGCCCCCCTTGCTAAATCATGTATGAGCTGTGATTAACCACATTTTTTGGAAAGCTGAGCTAAATTTCACTTGCCACACCCAGGCCTGGTTATTGCCAGACCTGCTGAATCAAGAAATCACTTAAATAGAAGCTGCCTGACAAAGTGAAGCAAGCTAAATGATTTAAAAAAGCAACACATCATGGCGCAATTGATGGAAATGCAAGAACAGATGAGAAACAAAATAATTGACATGTATCAGTCTTGAAAGGGTTACAAAGCCATTTCTAAGGCTTTGGGGCTCCAGTGAACCACAGTGAGAGCTATTACCCACAAATGGAGAAATCTTAGAACAGTGGTGAACCTTCCCAGAAGTGGCAGGCCTACCAAAATTACTCCAAGACCACAACAATGACTCATCCAGGAGGTCATAAAAGAACTCAGAACAACATCTAAAGAACTATAGGCCTCAGTTAAGGTCAGTGTTCATGATTCAAGAATAAGAAAGTGATTGGGCAAAAATGGCATCCATGGGAGAGTTCCAAGACGAAAGCCACTGCTGACCAAAAAGAAAACAAAGGTTCATCTCACATTTGCCAAAAATTATCTTGATTATACCCAAGACTTTTGGGCAAATATTCTGTGGACTGATGAGACAAAAGTTTAACTTTTTGGAAGGTGTGCATCCCCTGACATCGGGCGTAAGACTAACACAGCGTTTCATAAAAAATACATCATACCAACAGTAAAACATGATGGTGGTAGTGTTATGGTCTGGGGATGCTTTGCAGCTTCAGGATCTGGACAACTTGCCATAATTGATGGATCCATGAATTCTGCGCTCTACCAGAAAATCCTGAAGGAGAAAATCCGTCCATCAGTTTTGTGACCTCAAGATCAAGTGCACTTGGCTTATGCAATAGGGAGTTTAGGGGGCAATTGCTTTTTCACATAGGGCCAGGCAGGTTTGGACAGCTTTTTTTCCCTTAGCAAATGAAATCGTCAATTAAAAACTGCATTTTGTATTTACTCGGGTTATCTTTGTGTAATATTAAAATTTGTTTGATGATCTGAATCTTTTAAGTGTTACAAATATGCAAAAAAAAATTTAGGAAGGGGCAAATACATTTTCTCAGCACTGTAGGTGTCCGAGTAGACCACACACATTGAGCAAGCAGTTAGACAAGTTTACAAATATCACAGCATGTGTTTGGGTACAATGAAAGCACAAATATAAGTTTATTACCATACAGTAATTGCACATCGAGGACCACGGAAAAGCTGCTGTACACAAGCTGTGACAATCTTGTCAAGCCACCAAATTTTGTATGAAATTAGAAAAATAGTAGAGGGGGAGGGATTTAAACAAAGTAATAGTGTATCTTTTCTGATATTTGTCCAGTTGTCATTTAGTAAAAATAATATAAGTTGGGTATTAAAACTGTGTGACAAATGTTTTAAATGTCTTTAAAGAACACATTGAAGCTTATTTGGTTAGGCAAAAATTGTCAGAGATGTTTCATGCCAATGCATGCGGAAACAGCCTTGGCATGCAAGCTTTAATGGTCCCCGGAAGGGGTTGAAAGGGTAATATAGTTAAAGGGTTAATAAACAAATCTTCAAACCTACATTGTGATTTCTACACACATAACAATAATTATTACAATATATATTTTGTATTCCTCTTTATTTACAGGAACAGCCTTTTATTGAAGATGATGATCAGTCATCATCGTCATCATCGGAGTCAGATGATGAGGAGACCAGTGGGAAGGAGGAGGATGATCAAGATTCAGATGATGGTATTTGCAGGAGTATTTTTTTTTCTTTTACGTGTTTATTTAACATGGTTCTATAATTACATTAGAGGTGCATGTAAGACCTATAGGTTATACCGTTACAGAAAAAAAAAAACTCAATGCAATGTAAAAACAAAATGCTAACTGTTTAACTCTGTTTCACATACCCCTGGCAGGAGGGTGACACCATTGTAGATTCCAGTATCACCCCTCCCCACATTCAGCCTACTCAAGTATGTGGAAGTATCAACACATAGGTTAAGTTCTCTCCGGTGCCAGATAATATACAAGTTTTGGGTTTTGCAAAAATATTATATTGCAGGTTAGCAGTTCTTAGATGTGGTGACTGCATTCGTTTATTCATTTTTTTAATCCTGCATTTTTCAAGTTAAGAACTTTTTTGATAAGTACAGAAAATACCTGCTGATTTTGTTAGAAATGTAGTGTCCTTGTTACTTCCAATGAAATGAGCCTGAAACAAAAATATTTTCTCTTACATTGAGAAAAATTAAGCCCTTATCCACACTTGAGCATTTTTCTGCTTGTTTCCCTGTGCTTGACTACACCTGACTATGCAGAATACTATTTTTTTAATCATTCCTGTTCACGCTTATTCTCTCTACACCATAGGCTCCCAAAAAGTAAATGAGCTGTTTTTTTAGCATATTCAGGTATTTTTTGTCCCATAGATGTGTTTTTTTGCTTTTTTGCCTGGTTTTTAGGCCTTAATGAACTTGTCTCCTCCTATAGAACTTCTCTTCTCCCTTTGCACAGCCCAGGAAAAAACTCTTGATACACATGCAAAAACGCCTGTAAAACACCTGAAAAAATGCTTCAATATCACCAGTAATATATACTCTGCTCGGGTGTGAATGCAGGCTAACTCTTGGGTTATACTTCTGCTAACAGGAGGATTATATGCTGGCATTTGGATTCTGTTGCCCCTCTATCAGCTGTTCCCAAAATTGGCTCTTACTGCACGTTACTTGCTTTGTGAAGCAATGTGTGTGGGTTGATTTTTTTTTAATTTGGTGCAGTAGTGCAATTCCTCAATTAGCCAAGGAACTGGAAAATGATATATGAAGCATTTCTGTATATTTAAATAGTGCTTTAGAAACCTGTCCCTTTTTGCATTTCCAACTATGTATTTATAGAAATGGAGGTAAAAAAGTGTTGCATTTAATATTACAACTAACGTGTGTAAGTGGAAAGAGGTTTTCTGGACAACCTGTTAACTTCTAGGATTAAAAAAAAATTAAACCATGTTTTCCTGTGCCCATTTAGAAAAATTCTGTAACCATTGATTTACTTTTTCTAGAAGATGCCACCAGTGTGACTTCCTCTAAAGTTGAGGCAGATTCTTCAGATGAAAGTGAAGAGTCCTCAGAGTATGAATCTAGTTCTGAATCTGAAGAAGATGAAGAGGAGGACGACTCTGAGGAGGAAGAATTACATTTTGAGGAAGATCAAGATGAGGAAGTAGATAATGTGGAACATGAGGAAGATGCAGAAATTGACCGAGATGATGGCATGTCCATTCAGAGTAGTCCAGCCAAGGCCTCAGCTGAAGAAGAGCAAAGAGCTGAAGAAGGAGAAGTTGTTGAAGACTTAACACCATCAACAGTGGAAGAAGTATCCGCTTTGGTTGATAGACACCTGGATACAGCAACTGTTGATTCCAAAAATGTATTGGAACAGGATATTGTGGAAGAAGTGCTACCAGAGAAACCAGTGGAAGATGACACAGAGAAGGATATTGAGAAAGCCCCATCACCATCAAACCAAGGTGCCACTTATAAAAGTGTGTGTTTGTGTGTGTTTGTATCATTCAGCCATGGAGTATGGAAATCTTTAACATTTATTTCAGTTGTGACAACTTGGAGGTTGTACAGCTAGACAAATTGTATTAAGCAGGACTGGTAGGTCAGTACTTTGATAGCAAACACTATAGCTCATATCAAAAGGTTTGTTCATTTGCTCTTTCTTTTTGTGTTTAGTTTCTAAAATTGTATTCCAGGCAAAACTTATATTATCTAAATATAAGAGCCAGGAGCAGTTTTGACTTTAGTTGGCCTTTGTGTATTTTATCCAAATCTGTGCAGTAATTCAGCATGAAACAACCCTTGCTCATTTCTTCTGTGCTGGGTCTCCTTGTAATAAACAGCCACTAATTCTCTATCTCCTTGTGCAGGGTTTCCACCCACCTGTAGGAAATTGTTTCTTTTTTTTTTTTTTACAGGTAGCATGTTGTGGGAGGACCTGTAGGTTCCCACCAACACATCTATGCTCTGCACAGGCTTTGTGCTGCACAGTAATGATGTCATTGCTACATTTTTAAAGAAAAATAATTTGTTAATGCCTATGGTGAATTTATATTCTTTATGTCTATTAAAGGATATATTTCAATTTAAAGTATTTGTGCCTGGAGTTCAGCCCTAAAACCTTTAACAAGATTTTTATTAAGGTCCCTTTCATCTGCTCAAAAGGTGTTTTTGTAAGATTTGCACTTTGCATCATGACAACATTTTATATTTATTTTTTTATTTTAGCTATTACAGATTTAGCTATTGAAGATCCTTCTGAAGTGTATGTAGAACTCCGCCTAGAGCCAGTCCTAGATATCCCAAATGAACAGGCTCAGGAGAATGTGGCTATTCGTCCTGCAACACCTACTGGAGCTTTTGGTGAATCCAGCTTCGTTGTTAAACCTGAGGAGATGCCTTCAGATACTCGACAAATAGCAGCTAAATTACCTCCCTTTGCTTCAGAGGAAGAGGTACTCTGTCCTCGCACGCCAGGACGAGACGCAGCTGTTCATTTGGATGCTGAGGTTCCTCTGCCAGCTGTTCCCAAAGTAGCTCTTACTGCACTTCCCTTACTCCCCCACAAAGATGAAGAGCCAGCAGTCCATCATGAAAAGAACTGTGGGCATTTAGCAGTCATAAAAATGCTGTCTGAGGAAGAGTTGCCACGAACTCCAGGCAGAGAATTCTCTGTTAAGTCACACCTTGGGAAGTCACAGAGCACTGATACTGTTCCTGCCACGCCTGGTAGTGATGCACCTCTCACAGGTAATAGTCTGACCCTAACTTCTCCCCACATTCCTGGAAGCCCATTTTCCTACCTTTCTCAGTCCCCGGGCATAATTAATAGTGGCATTCCAAGGACTCCTGGAAGAGACTTTAACTTTACCCCAACTTTCCCTGAATCTAATGCTATGTTTCCCTGCCACCCCTCAAACAAGAATCCCTCAGTTGATGAGCCTGGTGAAAAGTCATTTAAAGAACCAGCCAGTGCTTCCATAATCATGAATAGCGTTCCTTCACCCATCCCATTGGCTAGTCCCCCAAGAGGGGACCTTCAGAAGGACATTAGTTTAACTGTTGATGATCTGGAATCATCTGAAACTCCAACATACCTTTCAGAAGATAAACTATTAAGTGAAGAGAGTGAATGTGAGCTCTCTAAAATGTTGCCTTCCATTGAGGAATCTGCACCCTCACCCACACTTCCTCCTACGAGTAAAAGGAAATCTGGGAGGTCTAAAAGGCCACCTCCTTCTGCACTATCAATAGAAGATAGTGTTGACAAAAGCTCCGAAACCCTTCCTCTGGCTGCATTAACAGAAATTGCCCTAGGTAAAGGTGTATTTGATCAAGCTAATGAAGTCTGTGGAATTAAAGATCCAGCAGCTGTTCCATTAGACTTCAGGAACGAGGAGCACCCTAATATTCCAGTTTATGAAGCCATAAATCAGAAAGTCCCATTAAAGGAACTTGAGAACCAATGGAAGGAGGAGAGAAGAGAAGGAGAAGACTATAGCAAATTGAAAAAACCCAACTGGAGGCTTAAGAAAAGATTTGATGAGATATCTGCTATTCCTTCGCCTGAATTTTCTCCACCCCGATCTCTCTTCAAGCCTCGCTCGGAGTTTGAGGAGATGACCATTCTGTATGATATATGGAATGGAGGAATAGATGAGGAGGATGTCAAATACATGTGCATCACTTATGATAGGCTGCTACAACAGGACAATGGCATGGACTGGCTTAATGACACTCTTTGGGTCTACCATCCTCATATCCTTTTTTTCAACAATTACTGTATATTAGTCTGTAATAATGAGATGGAACATTAAAAGGTATGATTGCCTTTTATTACCCTAAAGAAGAGTTTTCTTCAGGGCTGGTTGTCATGCATTTTCTTGCATTTTAATGGACAAGTAAAATGTATTCTCTTCTAATGTTGCATTTCAAAAAAGTCCTGTATACTGCATTTTGAACTATTTTTTGTCTTTCAAGTCAGTTAAAATTGGGTGTTTCAAAAATGTTATGCATGACAATGTATGTTAAAGGGTGCTTTGTGGAAATTACAGCTTAGCTTTAATTTCTAACAATAACCTCTTCAAGCCTACCCACTGCTTGTCTGGGTGAGACAACCGCAAAAAGAGATTTTGTAAAGCAGCATCACCCCAGCATTTTGATATCTACCCCAGCCTAGGGATACATGTAATAGTGGGAGTGGCATAGTTAAATTGGCATAGGTTTTAAGAAAAAAAAAAACAGCCTACTTCCCGTGTACTATGCAGATGTGCATGGCAAATCTGCTTCTATTTTCAGCTTGTTCAGTTAAGCTTCGAAAATGAAAGCCAGAAGCCGATTATGTAAGCAAGAAGCTGATTGGTTACTGTGCATAGCTGCTTCAGTTTCTGGTTGTTCCAATTTTGACAAATTTCCCTAAATGTCTATAGTACAGGGGACAGGAGTGTGGAATTCGCAGCCTCTTTATAGAATACAACCAAAATTATTCCCTCTTCCCACTAGATTTCATCCCCCATTCCCAAGCCTATATCCCCCACAGTGCAGATCTCCCCTAACTTCCCCCTTAGCATAAGCCCCCCTTTCCCAGCACAAACGCTGCAGTACAGACTACATATCACATGGTACCTTGCCGCCTGCAAGCTGTGATTCCTGTATTGACTTTGCCTCCTGAAACACCTCTACTCAGCACCTCTGGTTCAGACAGAAGGCTTTGTGACATTTATGACACAGCAGATCACAGGGTACTGTTTAGTGAATTTGTGTCACAGAATTCAATGAAGTAAATGTGTGGAAGTGTTCAAAATGTAAGTTTTCAAACAAAATTGTTCAGATTAATAGGAGTAGACTAGAAATAATTTAAATACAATGTGGAAATGAATATACAGTGCCTTGAAAAAGTATTCATACCCCTTGAAATTTTCCACATTTTGTCATGTTACAACCAAAAACTTAAATGTATTTTATTGGGATTTTATGTGATAGACCAACACAAAGTGGCACATAATTGTGAAGTGGAAGGAAAATGATAAATGGTTTTGAAAATGTTTACAAATATATATCTGAAAAGTGTGGTGTACATTTGTATTCCACCCTTCTGAGTCATTACTTTGTAGAACCACCTTTTGGCTGCAATTACAGCTGTAAGTCTTTTTTGGGGATGTCTCTGCCAGCTTTGCACATCTAGAGAGTTACATTTTTGCCCATTCTTCTTTGCAAAATAGCTCAAGCTCAGATTGGATGGAGAGCGTCTGTGAACAGCAATTTTTGTCACAGATTCTCAATTGGATTGAGGTCTGGTTTTTGACTGGGCCATTTAGATCAATATGCTTTGATCTAAACCATTCCATTGTATCTTTGGCTGTATGTTTAGGGTCGATGTCCTGCTGGAAGGTGAACCTCCGTCCCAGACCCAAGTCTTTTGCAAACTTTAACAGGTTTTCTTCTAAGATTGCCCTATATTTGGCTCCATCCACCTTCCCATCAACTCTGACCAGCTTCCCTGTCCCTGCTGAAGAAACGCATCCCCACAACATGATGCTGCCACCACCATGTTTCACGGTGGGGATGGTGTGTTCAGGGTGATGTGCAGTGATAGCGTTTTGCTTTTAGTCCAAAAAAGTTCAATTTTGGTCTCATGTGACCAGAGCACCTTCTTCCACGTTTGCTGTGTCCCCCACATGGCTTCTTGCAAACTGCAAATGGGACTTCTTATGGCTCTCTTCTTGCCACTCTTCCATAAAGGCCAGATTTGTGAAGTGCACAAAGAATCCTGTGGACAGATTCTCCCACCTGAGCTGTGAATCTCTGCAGCTCCTCCAGATTTACCATGGGATTCTTTGCTGCTTCTCTGATTAATGCTCTCCTTGCCCGGCCTGGCAGTTTAGGTGGACGGCCTTGTCTTGGTAGGTTTGCAGTTGTGCCATACTTTACATTTTCGGATGATGGACTGAGCAGTGCTCCGTGAGATGTTCAAAGCTTGGGGTATTTTTTATAATCTAACTCTGCTTTAAACTTCTCCACAACTTTATCCCTGACCTGTCTAGTGTGTTCCTTGGCTTTCATGATGCTGTTTGTTCACTAATGTTCTCCCTGTGACTGTGTGGGTTTCCTCCAGGTACTCCGGTTTTCTCCCACACTCCAAAGACATGCTGGTAGGTTAATTGGCTCCTGTCTAAATTGTCCCTAGTATGTGTATGAATGTGAGTTAGGGACTTTAGATTGTACACCCCTTGAGGGTTAGGGACTGATGTGAATGTACAATAAATGTATGTAAAGCGCTGCGTAAATAGACGGTGCTATATAAGTACCTGAAATAAATAAATAATGTTCTCTAAGAAACCTCAGAAGGCTTCACAGAACAGCTGTAGTTATACTGAGATTAAATTACACACAGGTGGACTCTATTTACTAATTGGGTGACTTCTGAAGGCAATTGGTTCCTCTGGATTTTAGTTAGGGGTATCCGAGTGTCCTGAATACAAATGCATGCCACAGTTTTCAGATATTTATTTGTAAAAAATTTTGAAAACTATGTATTATTTTCCTTGCACGTCACAATTATGTGCCACTTTGTGTTGGTCTATAAAATCCCAATAAAATACATTTACGTTTGTAACATGACAAAATGTGGAAAATTTCAAGGGGTATGAATATTGTAGCATGAAGTGGATTGGTTGCTGTTCACAACACTAATTTATTGTATATGCAGAATATATAGTTTATATACGTGTGGTTCTGTACAGGAGGAGAGACATAGTTTATGTACAGGAGGTGAAAATGTGCGTAATATTTCTAGAATGTTATATGTGGGCTGGTGTAATTTTTATTTTTTTTTATTTGAAACATTTTTCTGTGCTTATTCCTTAACATTTCCTCACCAACCAGTGTTTTTTCCCCCAAAAAGAAGAAACGGGATGATGGACTACGAGAACATCTTACAGGCTGTGCTCGTAGTGAGGGCTATTATAAAATTGATAAGAAAGACAAACTTAAATACCTCATTAATAATCGCTCATTGGCTGAAGAGCCTCTGAATGATACCCAGGTAGGTGATACTTGTTGCTATTTATAGCAATAGAAACGCTTTACATACTAAATCGCTACCCATAGGAAAAAGCTGAGAACTGGTTGTATAAATTACCATTCATATTTATGAAACGTTATTTTCCAGAGCAGTCTTACACGTGAGTGATTTATAGAAAGGATTACAACCAGTTTGGTGATGAAAAAGTTGTAGGTACTCAGTGAGTGTTTTTTGTAAGGATTTATATTTTTTTCGGACCCATTCCATTCTGTCAGTGCCTTACCTGTAATTGTAGTGAGGCTGCCATTCCTGATGGTATTTTGAAAATACTAGTCTGACTGTATTTGGTTTCAAAATTGGAGTCTCAAACACAGCACATGCATTCAGATAAGAAAGTCTGAGTAAACGCTGAATAGGTACCTTGGCCTTAGAAACAGATTTTTGACATGTATTTGGTGCTTGTATATTTTTCTTGCCGATATCCTGATTGAATGAACTTTGTAACATGTAACAGAGATGTGTAGTAAACATGCACCTCTAATCTTTTCATGTTGGCTCATTCTGCAAGTTAGCTATCACATCCTTGTCAGTGACAGCTCTGTTTTACTACCTAGGGGAAGAGTATTCCTGCTCAGCCTCACACCTCTACCAGAGCAGGTTCTGAAAGGAGATCGGAACAACGTCGACTACTTTCTTCCTTTACTGGAAGCTGTGATAGTGATCTGCTCAAATTTAATCAGTTGAAGGTATGGTGACCCTTTGTTATTTCAAATGTTTTACTACTTCCTCTTAGACTCTTACTTTCCAGTTGAATAGTGTTTTCCTTATTCTGCTTAAAGAAATATTTTGTTCATATCTTCAGTCTTGGTTCTCTTCTGCGGTTGTAAAAGTTTGATCATTTTTTAATGTCCATAATGCAATTAATGCAGTTGTATTCCTATATAATGTGCAGGCCTAATACAACTAAAATAAAGTTACTTTATATGAAACAACTAAAAATAACTGCTTATGCCTGTGTGGAAATATGACAGTCATGTAAAGTTATGGACTAGAAGGGCTTAAAAGTGTCTAGTGACAATCTTATTCAGTGAATTACAGTACAAGAAGAAGCACCACTGTACCCAACTGCAGAGTGGGGAAGACTTCTGTTGGGTTTTTTTATTATGGTGTGTGAACCCCATTTGGCTTATTACCCCTTTCTATCTGTCCCCTTCTGATCACAAAAAACTGGCAGAGGTTCTAGATCCTCCACTAGAGGGAGTGGTTTTGTTAATTTCCCAGCTTAAAGTGGAGTTCCACCTGAGAAAAAAAAAGTCAGCAGCTACAAAAACTGTAGCTGCTGACTTTTAAAATACAGCCATTTACCTGCCCCTCGGTCCCGTGGTGTCCTCACCACCGCTGGTTTCACTTGCCGTCTTCTCTCCCTGGCGCCGGCATCTTCAGTGTGGGCACCCGGCTGTGACTGCTTGCGGCTTCACAGCCGGGTGTCCACTGCGCATGCGGGAGAAATGCTGCGCTTTGTGAATGACCCCGTAGTCTTCTGGGACCTATCACGTGTCCCAGAAAACTACGGGGAGGGAGGGGGGAGGACAACTTCCGCTTCCGATCGCCTAGGCGATTGCAGCGGAAGTGGGAGTGGATACCTGTCAAATTTGGGTACCCGCTCCCCAAAGGTGCCAATCCTTAATGGGGAGCGAGGGACAAAGGCTGAAAGCGGAACTTCCCCCTTTTGGGTGGAGCTCCGCTTTAAGATATTTTCCCTCTATCCCAGTTCCTATAACAATGTCACAAGAACTGAAACTGGAGATGGAGAACAAATTTCACTTATGGGAATGCAGGCAATAAAAATCTAACAGGTTTTCTAAACCTTACCAAGACTTGAAGGATGTTGCCTGAAAAGATGTTTAGCTGTAGAATTCTCGATTTTGGTAGCTGTGTATTTAACTGAACTAACGACTGACCACTATGAACATATGTAATAAAACAACAAATTGTATTTTCAGTTCCGCAAGAAGAAATTGCGTTTCTGCAAGAGCCATATTCACGACTGGGGCCTTTTTGCAATGGAGCCAATTGCAGCAGATGAGATGGTTATTGAATATGTGGGACAAAACATTCGGCAGGTAAGCTTTATTTACCTGTAGGATGTTTTTGTATACAACACAATTTTACTTTCTTTTTCTTTTTTAGGTCATTGCAGACATGCGGGAGAAACGATATGAAGATGAAGGGATTGGGAGCAGTTATATGTTCAGGGTGGACCATGACACCATTATCGATGCCACAAAGTGTGGGAATTTTGCTCGGTTTATTAATCACAGTTGTAATGTGAGTTATCAATTATATTTTAACTAGTCAGACTTCAAACTAGACAGAAACTTAGAACTTGGAAACTAGAGAACTGTTTATATTGAGTTGTATTTATTCTCTAGCTGATTGGTTCTACCTAACCTAAAGGGTTATCAAATTTAAATGACATGTAGCTTTACATAAAAGGGTCTTGACAACATACCATAAATATATTTATGGGATAGTTTTCAGTTTAAAAGGGGGAAGTGACACTGGGACCTGAAAAAAAACTACATTAGTTTAGTGTGTAACTGGAGAATGTCATTGCTCTGAAAGGTTACACTAATTTAAAAAATATATTTTTAGCCAATGGAAAGCTAGTTACTAGGGAATAAAAACTTATGACAAGGGGGTTTTCGCTCATTTTTGTTGGGGCCAAAAACACTTTGCAGCTCAAAAGAAGGTCATGTAGTTTTTCGAGCTTCAAGCAACACTACAGTGAGATTCTGAGATGCAATGACATTTCATGCATATAATGCAGGGGTGTCCAAACTATGGCCCTCCAGGTGTTGAGAAACTGTAAGTCCCATGAGGCCTTGCAAGACTCTGACATCCACAGGCAAGACACCCAGAGGCATGATGGGACTTGTAGTATTTCAGCGGCTGGAGGGCCATAGTTTGGTCACCCCTGATATAATGCATGTTGCCCTTAGACAAGAACTTGTTCCTCCAAGAGTGATGGGCAGTCAACTATATGTGGTTAAATAACAAACATGTCATACTTACTTGCTCTGTGCAATGGTTTTGCACACAGGAGCCCCAATCCTCCTCTTTTCAAGCCCCCTTGCTGGTTCTCCTGGCCTCCAGAGCAAGGTGCTTGGGCAGGGGGCACTTGTGCATGTTTGCTCCCGAGCCAGCCTTTTATGCCCATAGGACATACAGAGCGCAGCTCGACCCAGCTCCCTCCTCACTGGCTGTGATTGACAGTAGCAGGAACTCTCGTGCATAGTGCTGAATCGTGATCGTGATCTGGCTCAGGTAAGTATTGGGGGCTGAGGGGGAGCTGCACCCTGAAGGTTTTTTCACCTTCATGCATAGAATGCATGAAGGTAAAAAACCTTTGCCCTTTACAAGCACAAATGTTTGTTTGTCCTTATTAGTACACACATAACATAACTTCAAACAAAGAAGTAAAGCAAAACTGTAAATAGGTGACTTGCACTAAAAAGTTTAAGGCTGTCTTCACATTCATGTCTTGTAATGCATGATCCGCATTTAGGCGAATTTTAGTGCCATCCATTATGAATGGCACCCGAATGCACTTTGCTAGCACACCTCAATGCATATGTGCTTCAGTGCGTAACAATGCACAGATGGTAACCATCTGTTTTTTGTGGTACGCTGTGTTGGGAAAAAAAAAGGTTGCCCATTTGTTTTGATGTGCTTGCACCCAGTTTTAAATGAAAGGGCTGCCTGAACACAATGCACATTAATGAGACACTGTCACTTAGCCCATTCGGGGCAAAATTACAGCATATGTGAAAAGGCCACCCCACCCCCTGATAACTTTCCAGCAATACCCTGCTGCTAATTTCTTAAAATACTTTGTGCCTGTATTTGTTAGAGGCAGCAGTGACATCATACCTGCCATCATGTGACAGTACTCAGTCCAAGTGATTGGCTGCTAAACACACCACCACATGCTACCCTGTATTCACTGGGTAGGAAGCGGAGGATCACTGGAGAGATAAGTATTAGGGGTTAATAAGATGTTTCTTTAGAGTGACATTGGAACTTTGCCCTTCATGGACTACATGTGACTTACTGCAATGCACTGGATATATGTAAAGGGGACCTTACTGCTTCCCCTAATTATCATTATGCTAAAATACGCACCTAAGGGCCCATTCACACTTGTGTGTTGCAGTAACATGTGGTAAATCTTACATCCACAATGCACATACCATGTAAGGGTGCTTTAATTGACATTGTATGCAGATGAAAGGCAACACCTTTGATCTTCTTATGAATTTGAACAATTACATACAAATTGTTAGTAGTTGAATTTCTTCTGTGTCTTTGCTGTCTACAGTCCCAGTCTACGTTTTTACCGCTGGTAATTCTGCTGTTACGAGCCAGAGAAAGCAGCAGGAGGGGAACAGGGATAGGGATGCTTCTGCTACTGCGTGGATACAGTACTAAACTGGAAATGTTCATTACTGAGCCGAGCTTAAGTAATCTAAAGGAGATTCATGAACATGAATGGCATGTTCACTGATCTCCCCACTTGCCATCCCTAAAATGTTACTCCTATGACTGCCACCACTTTCTTGGGTAGAAGGTTTCACAGCCAGGTGGAGATGCTGTAAATGTGATCAGCTGCCAAATCGCATTCACAGAACAAGGCACAGCAGTCCGATACAGAATTTGGAGGTACAAAATAGTTTGGAGAACAAGATGTAAAGCAAAAGAAAGGGGACACAGGCTGGAGAGAGACAAAGCTGTTGGTCATATCCATATAGCTACGTACTAGAGCTGCCACATTTACAGGTTTTGTAGATGCGATTGGTGGCTTCTTAACCACTGATCACATCCGTTCAAGTGAAAGCAAAGTGTCAGGCACCACTTGGGTGTAAGGTCTTGGTCACTGAAGCAACCATGAGCTTACATCCTTGTGAAATGCAGCAGGTGTAGGGGTTACTGACCTAGTCTGCTGCTAGCAGTAGTTCCAACCTATGCCCATAGCCTAGTAGTAGGATGATTAATAGAGGAACCAATGACCACATCTAACTTCAATAATTACCTCCTTCACAGCATTTTATTTACCTGCTGCTTTCGTTAAAGGAACTGTCCCTGACCCTGAATATAATAGAGGCATTATATTTTGAGCCATGATGTCATTGACTGAATATAGGTAGCCATCTGTTTCCATCATGGTGAGAGTTAAGCTGGCCATACACGTATAGATTTTCGTTCGAGAATTTTCATTTCAAGAATATTATTTTGATTTTCTAATCATTAGTGGGGTCAAATCGATGTTGATTTTCAACAGCAGTGATGGGAAAATTCGAAGGGGCAGGAAGGAAAACTTTTCTTGATCAAATAAATTTTTTTTTATTGTTCAAATATTGAGTTCTGCTTTTAACATTCGATTTTAAAATGAATGTAATTCTGAACGATATTCATCCATTCATTGAATGTTCAAAGGATTTTCGTACGACTTTTTTTATGAATATTCTCGTGTGAAAATCTGCACATGTATGGCCAGCTTATACTGGTGTTCAGTCTGTGCTCATGTGATTTATAGATTCTCAGTAACTTTAATGTAGGAATTCTTTATTGAAGTAGAAATTCAGTGACCAATGGGGGAAAACCTCACATGTGACATTATCAGTCTAATGTACCTCATGGGATTACAATGTGTTAATTTTTCATTCCGTCACTTTTGCAGCCCAATTGCTACGCAAAGGTCATCACTGTGGAGTCCCAAAAGAAGATCGTCATTTACTCCAAACAGTATATCAATGTGAATGAAGAGATTACATACGATTATAAGTTCCCAATAGAGGACGTTAAGATCCCTTGTCTTTGTGGAGCAGAGAACTGCAGAGGGACGCTGAATTAATCAACCATCTTTTCTTTGCACCTTTCAGCTATAGTGGACAGCAAGATATAGGTGTAAGTTGCACTTTTGCCAAAAAAAAAAAAAAGAAAAAAACAGAAAAAGTTATAAAAGAAAAAAATTAATGGTTTCGCACTTCTCTTGGGCTTATGAGCAACAAGAGCACATGTACATTAAGACTTTGCTTCTGATTGTATGAATCCTGGTGTTTTTTTTTTCTTTTCCATCTCCTTCAAAGAAAATAAGTTGACTTAACCAGTAGAAAGCATTTTCTAAGCCAACCTTGTTTCTTTTTGGAGCTAATACGGTACCTTTTTTTTATTTGTCATAAATGCTGCTAGTTTTCTTATCAGGTGATCGTCATTAATATGAAGAGGAGATGCTGTAATGGTATCCAATGGAAGACTGATGTTACCTTTTGGCTTTACTAGAAGGGATTTTATTTTCTTATTATCTGAAGTTAAACTTTTGCTAGATGACATTTTGCTGTTTACTGTAAGTCCCCTAAATGTGGGTGTTAAGCTGCTCCTTGATGCTCCCTAAATTCCTCAGCACTATTAATTTAAAATGTCAGATATTTTGAAAGGTAAAAGTCTTGCATAAGAGCAAATACCAAAGGATGCTATTACCCTTATAAGCCAGAAAATATTATTTTCTAAAACTTACTTTTGTTACAAGGGCCTGACTTAAGGACTAAATCCTACTAACTGCCTGTGCAATTAAAATGCCCTTACTGGCAAAAGAAGCACTCTAGTTGGAAAGGGAGGTGGCATCGGGCAAGGTCTGTACCAGGGGTCAGGCTTGATTAACCATGGTAATATCACAAATCCTGTGGTATCTGCTCTTAGTGAGGATGTTTATTTTTTGGGTTTTAAAGTATTTGATGGGTTTGCTCCTGCAGTGCTGCAGCACATTTTACTGTACACAGTCTGCACCAAAGTGCATCCGTGTTTTGTACATCCCTTCATTGTTGACCCATAACACAGGTTTTATAGTTGTTCATCATAGAGATGAATAGCATGCATAAGGCACAGCCTAATGCCATCAATATTCTAGACTTTAATGGGTGTCTAGCTGTACCTGGGTGTACGCTGCTTGCTGCCAGCTTGCACTGGTCCTGAAAATTTTAGAACAGTCCCCACTTCTAGGAGAAATCCTGTCATCCTTGTGTGTGTGTTATCACTAATGCCTATTCTGATTCAGCAAAGACCATTATTATCTCTGCATCCTCTTCTTTTACAGCACAGCCTATTTATTTAATCATTGTTCTGTCTATGGAATGTGCGGTTTTCTAACACATTCTCGCAGTTAATCTTCATATATAAGGGTATTTCAGGAGTGCATTGACCAAGGAACAAGCAGCTAAAATAAATAAATCATTCTGGTCTGCAGTTTATCCATGGTTCAGGGCTGGTAAATGGGCTCTTCCCCTCCCTAATTGGACAGCTGTGCACTTTCACAGTAGTCTAAAAATGAATAACATGGATAAATACATACACATTTCACAAACTGAAGTCCTTAGTCAATATATGTTGGTATAGGATCTGTTGAAATACCCATATATATGAACACATAATCAGCAGAATTCAACTGCCTTCATACTGTTTGTTTAAACTATAGATACTGTTGCACTTCAGATTCTCAGAAATAGTTTTTTATAATAATTTTAATAAAAGGCTTGGTACTAATGTTCTTGTACATTAGAGCCTATTATGTCATATCATGCATTCATCTTGATGTAGATTTGTTTTGCCTGTATATAGTGGGGTTAAGGCTCATGCACACAGACTAATAGATGCATTTTTGCAGACCAGCCTGATGTACACTGGTGCATACATGTACGCACACCACATTACAGCAGACACAGGGACGTAGCAGTGAGCCAACTGTTTCTACTGTAATGCACTACAATTCAGTCATGTTGTATGTGCACATCAGTCTGCGTACACCATAGATGTGAAGGGGGTTGTCATGCATGTGCTTTTCAACATGGTAGGAGTACTAGGCATCAAGCTGCATCTGCTTGTGTATGTGCTATTGCTGTTCGTATATTAGGCTGCATTATAACTTCCCTGAGTTTATTGGTTTTGTCGCTAGGGCACATCAGGCTTTACAAGAACAATGCTGTCTTGTAGCTTTCTAATGAATGTCTAGTAGGCAGTGGCTGCCTTCTTACGTGGCAGAACTTTTAATGTATTTATTTTAACTATACACTGCTGCCAGTATTAAATAAATGCAAGATCCATACGTAATGGACTAGACGAGAATTCAAGCAACTGAAATAACTTCTGTGAAACTGTTCTGTTATAGGAATGGAGTGTGTTGATTTTGGGGTTTGCATAGTAACTGGGTGGCTTGATCAGTGTTTATCTGCCTAGGAAAAAAGGAATTTCAATGTGGAGCTAAAGCCAGACTGATCTTCCAGCTTACATATATCTTTAATATTATTACAACTCTTATTCTTATAATTTGATTACAGTTTATTCATTTTTGTTTTCTACTGTCCAGTGACAAAATTAATCTTGTTGTTTAGTGTCCAAGTACTGTCATTTGTCAATCAAGGGCTCTTGTGAACTTCAAGTGTGCTTTCCTTCTGCCTGGAAATCAGTTCCTTTAGTTGGGTGCAGATTTTTATTGATTACTGCTCAGTTGCCTCTTTTGAACAGTGTAAATTCTTTTTTGATAGTTCAGTTGGAAAAAAAAAATTACCTCCTTTTTTCACTTGTGACTCCTGAAACAACTAGTCACAAAGTAGTATGGAGAAGGAGGACTGTCTGATAAGGGCTGGCATTTGTTTAGAGACACAGTAGGGCTGATTTACGAAATGTGTCCTTTTCATGCTAGCCTAATTTAAAGCATAACTAATGGAAAAATGTTTTTTTTTTTTTCTTTTTTAGTTTTGGATAGAGTGCATAAGGATTAGAACGCTTGTCAGTTTTTTTGTGGTCAGTGTCCCATTAAGGAGATTCACCCCCTCTTTTTGTCCTGTTTGCCATTATCATTAAAAGGGAAAAGAAAATCCCACTTTTTGGGTTGTCCCCAGAAAAGTAATAGAGGGGAAATCTTCCAATGGGGACACTAGTTCTAGTGACCTGGGGGTCCCCAAAGAATTCTCTTACTTTGCAGGGATTTCCTCTCACTTCCTGTTTGGCTATGGCACAGGAAGCGAAGGGAAATCTCAGCAGTTGTACACAGATGTCAAAAAAAATTCTGACAGGAGTTATAACCCTCCCTTGCTCTATCCAAAATAAAGAAAAATGTTCTATAGTTCTACTTTAATTTCAAATATCCAATCAGGTTTCAGGGAATTGACATTTTTGTTTTTTTGTTTTCACACCACTGAAGCAGTCTGATTCTGTTAACAGTTAATCTCAGCTATATAGAAGAAAAGAGAAATCAACAGCTTGATAGAACCTTTTCAATGAAAATCTTATTTGGCAAGTTTTTTTTTTTTTTTTTTTTTTTTTATATACAGTAAACTACAAATACCCACCCAAAATATTCTCCAGCAGACAGTTCTCACTCCATTTTCCTGGAGTGCAAAAACCACTTTAGCACAGACATTAAACCCTTGAAAGTACGGCATCCCATCTTAGACATGGTTAGGTTGCTTTCTTCACTTAAATGAATTCTATGGTCAGTATGGTGGACATTACATGGATCTTTATGTAAGGATGCTTATGATTCTCTATACACTAAAAGAAGGATTTTTTTTTTTCCATGTATGTTTGTTGAAGTGAATGGAGCATTATATGTTTTGTATTCATATTTACTAACAGCTGCATCAAAGTGATCTTGTATGACCCAGATATTTTAATCTTGCATCCATCACACCAAGCCTTGAATTCTAGCTTTTGCCAGTGGATGTTTTCTATAAGGGCACTTTGTTTATGTCTGGGAAAGAACAGTTCAAATATCACGCTTACATTATCTTATAAAGGGGAAGCCCATTTAGTGAAATTTATATCATTGTTACCAGACTGAATATGCATTTCTGTAGGGCTACATCCCAGTAGTCTGTTTGCCAGCGTAGAGCACAACACAGCATGTTCTCATATTTATAGTAAATGAACATTTATTCTACTGTAGGGTTTCAGCATTCAACATTACAGGTGATACAAATAAAAAGTGTTTCCTTAACAGGCCACTCAACCTAAAGCACAACTTGTTATACACACAAGATAAAGAAGAGATTTAAAGTTTGTATGTTTTAGATATTTCCACAACTTATCATTTTTAGAAATTCCAGGCTGCATATTCTCTGTGATTAATGCTGTCATTTCAGACTTGCAAGAGTCCATAAACTGTCTGCTGTAATGTTACATTAAATTACACCTCTGCTTGCTTGTAGCAAAGCACCAACCCATTCGGAATAACATTTTATTTCTAGTTTAAATACAAGTGCAAAACTTTTTGATTTATATTTTTGTTACCTTTATAAATAACTATGGGCTTGAAATAGGCACAGGAGCAGCTCCACTTTGCATAAAGGTTTACAGTACTTTAAACCACTTTTGTACTAGTTGAGCTTTCTTCCCTTACATACTGCCCTCCACTGTTAAAAGTTAGGATTCAGCTTCTAGTGACTTTTGTGTCTTCCAAAGCATAATCGTGCATGAAGAGCTGTACAATAAATACCTGAATTTCCCCAGTATACCTTCTGTACCTGCTTTGAGAGTTTTCTCAGATGTTCTATTTCCTCACCTACTTATTCTTTATAACCCTTAAATTTGATCTACTTCTCTTACCACGATGGCTATGATATGGAAACACAGCCTGACTTTGACCAGCACTTGCTGCTATTCTCAGTACAGTGTCAGACAAACCTACAGTGAATACTTACTAGCTCATGGAGGCAGACAGTAAAAATGCTTCCTTTTTTAGATGATTGGGCAGGCTGTCAGCATAGATTTTCTAAGGGTAAATATTGCATTAAGTCCTTGTTTACACTTGTGTTTTGGGGGGGCAGTAAAAACACAGCTGAGCTGCATTTTTACTGCTCC